TTTTTTTTTTGGGGGGGGGGGGGGACCTGATTTATTTGAGATTTTAAAAAAATAGTATTTGAAATTAAGTTAATTTTTTTTTTGGTTGAAATAAGACTCTACATGGGGTATTCATGGTTTCATGGTTCGGTTCGGATCGATTTTTCCCTAAAAAGAAACAAAACCAAGTAAGTCGATTTTCAAATATTGGAACCAAATCAAACCAATTAAGTCGTTTTTTTATCGATTCGATTTATGTCGGTTTTTTTCCGGTACTTATCGATTTTTTCTTAAATATGAGATACACTACCAAACACATATTCGGGCGACTACATTTTCAACATAATACTATCAAACCAATTGCTCTTTGAAAAATCTATTATTTACCAAGATATATTGATGATAATTGAATCAAATAGTGATGAATAATTTAAGGATTCAATTAAAATTAATTAGATTATTTTTAACATAAAGTAGATTCTAGTAATTAGCAAAAGAAAACTATCAATCAAACTAAAATGTAAAGACAAATAACTAGATTATTATAATATCAAAGAATTAGACTAGAAGTGCAAACCATTAACATGTAACGTAAAATTTAGAAACTTTGTATATATAATGGGTTTGGTTCTTTTTTCGGTTGTATTTTATTAAAACCAAAACCAAATTAAATTTGATATATTTTTAAAATCAAGACCATAACTAAATCAAACAAAAAAAAGTATCGTTTTTTTGTCTGTTTGATTTGATTTTTCTAGTTTTTATGAACACCGTATCTCTATGCATGTACATTGTGTTTTTGGTTTACACATATCTTATAGTATTTACTTACGTTATCATTTGATGATTCTTGATCTATAAGAACTAACATGTACTACGCCCACATGAATGCATTAGAAGTGACATACAAAATATTCTTATTATTTGGAGACCACCATTGGGTTAGATTTTATTGGCTGTTTTGATGATTGACAAAGGAACTCAAGCATGAACCAGGTCCATATACAATGTATACACACACGGGCAGATTCAAGCACAAGGCATGCACGTGAAGGAGATAAGCTTAGAGTTATATGTGATATTTTCTTAACAAAACGGTTGTATAGGTGATACGGAGAAGGACTCCTTACTCGAAGAGAACTCTATCCTAGATAAGGGAGGAGTTAGACGTTGAAGATAACTAGAACTCTTCTATCATGGAAGAGTATAGCATTAAAACTCTAGTTATTTCCTATTCTTTGGAGCAACTACTGATAAGTTAAGTAAAGAATTTGCTAAATTAATGGAGAGTGAATTTGAAATGAGTATGATGGGTCAACCTAATTTCTTTTTAGGCTTACAAATTAAACAAAATTCAAATGGAACTATGATCCATCAGCAGAAGTATGTAAAAGAGTTGCTTAAAAGGTTTAAAATGGAAGATTCCAAAGAAATTGACACTCCTATAGCAACAACCACAAAATTGGATGTAGATGAACCTGGTTCATCTGTTAATCAAAAGTTGTACAGGAAAATAATTGGCTCTTTGTTATATCTCACTGCTAGCAAACCTGACATTGTTTTCAGTGTAGGTCTTTGTGCTAGATTTCAAGCAAATCCAAAGTAGTCTCATGTGAATGTTGTCAAGAGGATCTTGAGATACGTAAAAAGCACCATTGACCTTTGTCTATGGTATCCAAAAAGTAGTAATTTCAACTTAGTGGGATATGCTGATACTGATTATGCAGGTTTTCTTGTGGATAGAAAGATCACTTCAGGTATGACACACTTTGTTGGCTTATGTCTTATGTCTTGGGCCACCAAAAAGCAAAATTATGTGGCCTTATCTACTGCTGAAACTGAGTATGTTGCTGCTGCCTCATGTTGTGCTCAATTGTTATGGATCAAACGACAATTAATGGACTTTGGAATTGATGTAGGTTGTATCCTCATCTTTTGTGATAACACCACAATTAGTATGACCTAGAACCCAGTTCATCACAAAAGAACTACGCACATAGATGTTAGGCACCACTTTTTGAGGGACAACTATAAAAAAGGTTTGATCACTGTGAAATATTGTGTTACTGACAAGCAAATAGCTGAAATCTTCACAAAAGCTCTAAGTAGAGATCACTTTGAAAGGAACATGCTAGAACTAGGGATGATTAAGATCATCTAAAAAGAACCAGTTCTAACACAAAAATTGGTTAGAAAATATGTGATTTTTGTACATAATTAGATTAGATTTTGCTCAGTCTCATACTTTCACTAGTATACTCTTGTGCCATGTGCTAAAATGTCTCATTAATCTCTAATGATATTATTTTTATTTTCTTGGAAAATTTAGACTTACATTAGAGATTTCTCAGTGAAGAACCTGGTTCATTAAGATTACATGGTACATACTCTCCACTCTGCATATTTTGAAATAATTATATTTGGATCAATGATAAAAAGGAGAGTCCCATTTAGTCCTAACCTCCTTAAGCTTATCCTTTATGAAATGAACCAATTTCACCCAAAGAGAGTCTCAAAACGCAATAAGTGCTTAGATATTAGGGAGAGTCCTCAACATCTTTTCAAACTCGACTCCCAGTTTGATTAGACTTCTGAGATTCTGAAAAAGCTGTTGTTATCCAATTAAATTCTCCCTCTTTATATTGATTTAGTCTTAGTCGTTTCTTCACTTCTAAATTTCCAGCCGCCAAATAATTCTCTTTATTTTCTCTCATCTTCTAAATACACATATACTCAGCTTCTCTGATCCTCTAACCATCAATGGCTAACATTTCTAAAAATCCCTCATCACCGCCCAAAGAATCCACATCTACACCTTCAACCACACCTATCTCTAAGAAAGAAAGATTCAAGTTGCTTGCTCGCAAAGTAGTTTCTGGAGGAGAACAAATCAAGAAAATCAATGAGAAACTGAGGGCAAGTCAGGTAGATGAACCCTAAAAATCTGAAGATTCATTCAAGTTTGCAACTGAGGGGGAAGAAAATATTTCATCTGAAATATAGCAGGCAACATCTGGTCCAAAATATTACATCAGAGATAATCTCCGAGGTTGCTGAAAATCTGGAAAACTGGTTTGTTTTGGCAGGAACCATGGCTGGGGTTGAAACAACTAAGTTTAGGAAATAAATGGTAAAAATAAAAAGAAAAAATAAAAATAGAATGAGTGTGCTCAAGGAAATGTGAGGGGAATGAGAAAAGGAGCGGCCGAATCTTCACCTGCACCTGTTGATTTGGTTGAAGAAACATGAGCTATAGAAGTGTGGAGTGAGGAATCGGTTGGAGAGGAAGAAAGTTTGAGAGAAAAAGGGGGTAGTGGGTCTGAAGAAGTGGCAGAGGGGTTGGTTAGGTTGGGGAAGAATGTTCAAGAACCTATTCCATCAGTACAGAAACCCCTCGAAGACCTACTAAAACACATATCTAACAACTATAATCCAAAAAGGAAGAAGAGTTTAGGAGTTAAAATCTCTGGAACTACTAGGATAAACAAAAAGAGATAGGTTGCCTCTTCTATCCTTGTAGAGACTCCTCCCACAAGAGGAAGAGCAACAAGGAGTCAGAAGAAGCAGAGTGAGGCTGAACTTGAGAAGCCTTAAAAGAAAGTAAAAGAAATGCTGCTGCAAAGGGAAATAAGAAAGTGAGTGATCCTGTTGAGGTAGTTGAAATTGAGGAGATGGACCCGGTACTTCATGATAAAGAGAAGGAAGAAGAGGTGGAGGTTGTGACTCAAAAGGCAAAGAAAATAAAGACTTCCAAAAAGAAGTCTCCTTCAAAGACAAAGTCTATAGAGCCTTCTACCTTTGCAAAAAGAACCAGGTTTGCCATGAAGTCTTGAAAAGTGAAAGTAGTGGAGTAAGAAGAAAGTGAAGAAGAAGAGGAATCTAATGATGAGCAGGACAAGATAGTTAAGTTTGGGAAAAGAACCATCTTGAAGGGTAGACTCCTCAGGGATTTGGAGGAGGAAGACATGATTATGCTGTTGGAAAAACTACAAATGCATGGTTCAAAAGAACATGGTCCTTCAGATAGATGGAAAGTTTGCCAGAACTAAGATTGTGGAGTTCATGGCAAACTGTAAGATGAAAAATGGCAGAGTCACCAGTGTGGTAAAGGGGGTGACTGTGAGCTTTGATGAAAAGGAATTGGGAGAAATTCTAGGAGTACCTGCTGAAGGGTACAATGATTAAAAAAAGTTAAAATGGCCAAGCCTAGAAAACCTCCAGTCACGACCCGAACCGATAGGTCACGATGGGCACCCGGTACTTTACTCAACCGAGTACCAACATAATATATCTTTTCGTATCATACTATCATAGATAACTAAGCCGGAGAGGCTGCCATGAAATAGATAGAATACAACATGTAACACCAACTTATACATAAAATATATGGGCCTCTAAGACCAAAATAACCACTCGT